ATGATGGTTTACAATGAGGGAGTCAATAATGGATTCGTGACAGCAAAAAGGTTTTAAAATTTGTAAACCAAAATATACCGTGTTCGGTGGGCTTCAGCTTACGGATGAAATCCGCGCTATCCGCTGGATTACGACTGTGGATTATCTTTTGTGACCGTGCCAAAAAACGAGCATTTGCAAGCGCCACTTGGTCGCATAAGAACTAACAATAGATGTGAGGTGAAGTGGAAAACGTCCCTCCTCCGTCTACGCGGACTTCGTCGCGCGATGGGATTGTCTGACATGTTTGCATAATTGCTGATTAACGGCATTTGAGGATTATTTCGTGTAATACAGCAGAAAACTTAACTAAACGCCATAATATATTTTTTTTGTTTAGTTATTTGCTCCCACCGAATGCAAAAGATTTAGTTATATTCGTTTTTTTAAATGAACTACACCAATAAATTAACAGTATACGACGTTAAAGTTTGCTTAAAAATAAAATATGTATTTTCAGAAAGTGAACTGATATAGGTCGAGTTGGAATTGTCAGTGGCCGGGTCTATATTGATGTGTTTATTTCGAATATGTGTGCAAAAAAAAAGTTTTATAAGTAATCGTGTTATAATCCATACTAATATTATAAATGCGAAAGTAACTCTGTCTGTCTGTCTGTCTCGCTTTCACTCCAAAACTACTGAACCGATTTAAATGAAATTTGATACACCGATAGTCTAGAACCTTAGAAGGGACGTAGGCTTTTTAATATATAATATAGACATATTTTTTAATTGGGAAAAAGTGAGAAAAACTCGAAACATATTTATTTAACGGCTTCAACGCGAGCGTTGCCGCGGGTGAAAAGCTAGTGCTTTATAAAAAGAGCTTAGCATTTTGACGGTGGGTCCGACATGCTTCCGACGTTGCGCGGACGACGTTTAGTAACATTCACTTTGATCGTTGAGGGTTGGTAATTTGCTGAGGGTTGGGATGATGTTCGACTGCGTCCAAGGACCGATTGGTTAGATCTTTGAAATGGTCTTGAATCGTTGGAAGGTGCAGCAACTGTACATGTTGATGTTGCGTACCGGTTGCGCGGCGGATGAACTTGTTTTGGACTGGGTTGATGGTTCAAGGGAATAGGGTTTGTGTGGGCAAAAGTCATGCGTGCGTAGGACTTAATTGGCTTAATTTGTTTGTTACAACAGTAATGTGTGAGTCGCAAGAACCTCCTAGATACTTGACCAGGGGAGTCTTTGGCCTTCAGTTCTGCCGTGGCGGGTGAGTGTGGTTCGTGTGAAGTGAATCGCCACAATCTTTTCGGGATTTAAATATAGATATTTATTAACACTGGGTATTTAGGTAGGTATATAATGCCATATTTATATAATGCCCATGATGGTTGCTATCATAGCATCTTAATTGGAAGAGGGAGAAGCTATGTAAACTGCTAACGCAAAATTGTACCAAATGGCGAATTGATCTTTTGACTAATAAAAAAACTCGTGGAAGAGAACACACCACATTTGTCATTCATCGTGTCGTTATTTACGATCCTCTAATTAAAGCAGTTTAAGTTTTGTAATAATTGGATGCACGATCTGTGCAATCGCTAAGTAAGATAGGATTAGGCGACGAGGTTCTTGGTTCGATATTTAATTGTGTAAATATTTATCTAGTGGAGGCACTATATAAATATTTACACGATTAAATAATCCTGAATCAGAGTGGCCGACACCCTACTAGATAGAGTGACAACCTGTGCAAGTATGCGGGATGTATGGATGCAGGTGGCATAGAATCGTGCTTCGTGGCAGTCTGTTGGGAGGGCCATGTTCAGCGGTGAACAGACAGGATGAAATGATAATGATGATTATGAATTAGAGTGCCGTTTTTGTACGTATTTACTACAGTAAGATTGTATATGGCAACTTCATTATGTTAATTTTTATTAATAAACTGTAAATGGTAAAATACAAATTTGGACATGACGTCAACGCGGGAAGGTACGTTACACAATTTAAATTAACTTGTAATATAAATAAACTATATAATAATAATATAAACTTTATTTATTAACTGTACCGACATTGGATTGATTTATTGCGTTCCAATAAGGCAACACCGATAGCAATTACAGAGCGGGTCTATAATGCAATTAAAACTTTTCGTCTCCGCCTCATTTCATTTACGAAGGCTTTAACTCGTTAGCTAAGAGACAGCAAAACTTATGGCAATAAAGTCATTTTGAACTCAAACTACAGCCTGAACTTATTCTTCGGCGAAGGTGGCGCATAACATGGAATGTCGCTTAAATTCCAAGAGACCTTTTAGTTCGGTTCGTTGCATAACTTTGTCACATTGCCAGTAACGGAACGACAACGGGAACTAACACTGAACCATTTCGCAGGCCTACATTTAGGATTCCTTTTTGCCACCATTTGACCGTGATCCTACTTTTCCATTATGTGAAAAGTGGCAAACGAGCTGGCAGTTCACCTGATGTTAAGTGATAACCGTCGCCCATTGGTATTTTTAACACCACGTTGCGGTCCACCTTTTAATAAAGTGGGCCCCGGCTACCTCACTCCCTAGACTTTTGCTTGTCACACTTCCACTTCCGCTGGTCTTCTGTGAATTCGCAGTACTTACCCGGACGAATCTGTGTATTCGTGCAACTGTAAAAACTGTTACGTCGCGCTATCACAGTTAAACGGCTTTCAATCCAATGCTATATAATAATTATAAATTGATTAAGGAGAATTTTCATTGCCCATACTTTTTCCGTTCATGGCATTAATGGCTCAAAAATAGTTTTCCAGCATCATCTGATTATTTTTCATGCATTTCATTTTTGGTAAATGCCGCAATCGCTGAGCGGGGTAAAGTAAGAAATAACGTCAATATTACACTGTTATTTTAAGAATAACGAATCAAAAGAAAACAATCAAATAATGTCCAACTCGAATCTTGGTGTTTAATCAATAAAATCTGGTTATTTATTTATATTTTTGGTGTAGTTTTTAATTAATTTAATTACTAAACCTAAATACCGTAGACTGAAAAAATAAGCATGATAGAGCAATCACAATAATTCAGAATTGGTTAATTACCTAAATAACCTTACTAACTTTAATAAGTTTATTGAAACTTTAACAAGACCTGAAGTGGATATTAACTACTTTGCCCTGATCGTAATGAAGTATTCATAAACATTTTGCTTACACCCTATTTCGTCAAAACAGAGGGAATTGTTGTTAATAAATGATTATGTAAGTAAATGTTCCTTTAATCTGAGTTTATGAAGTGAAATCTTCTATAGCCACGTTCGGCAATTTGGAATGAGGAAAAATTCATACGTTCGCGTTATTGACATGCTATGTTACGTGTTTTGTCATTGACGTCGGTGACGTTAAAATTTTTGTGTCACTTAAAAAAGTCTCAGTTCAAAAGTTTTTTTTGCGTATTTTAAAATTAAAATTATATAAAGAATTTAATTACTCTAAATTATTTTTTATTGGTTTAACTTTTAAGAAATGAAAAAGGAATTTTGCAACTTACATAAAAAAAAATTCACATACTAAAATGTATTTAAAATTAAAAAAGACAGTTACTGTTATTCCGGTTTTAAGTTTTGATCGCAACTCATCAGTCCCTATGACAGTATTTTTGTAATTTCTTTGCCATTTTTATATATAACTAGCTGACTCGGCAAACGTTGTTTGCCATATAAATTATTTCTAGAGGAATCAGAACGCACGCATAAAATGTTTGACAGGTTACACAGACATAGTTGACAGGTTGACAGGTACAGTTTGTATGGGAAAATAAAATTGTCGCTATTTGGATTTTCCATAATTTCTTATCGTTTAAACCTTCCCTGGACTGCCACGAATATATAAAAACTAAAATTAGCCAAATCGGTCCAGCCGTTCTCGAGTTTTAGCGAGACTAACAGCAATCCATTTTTATATATAAGAAGAAGATACAGGACGTACATGGTATCACCGTGTCTGTAAATTGGGCCTTATTAATAAATCAACTTTTAACTATTTTCAAATGGTTTCACTATAAATTTTATTCATACTATCTATATTAAATTTATTGATATTCGTTTTGAGTTTCCTTAAAAATCGAGTACTTTTTATAACGAGAGATTTTATATGCGTTTATCTCTCGTTAAACAAAAGTATAAGAAGAATGTAGTATTTTAAAAACATTCTCTTATGTCTATAACAAATGAATTTTTTGATGAACATTTTACATTTTTGAAACCAATTAAAACCCCATAAATGTGTCGTAAGTCTCATGTTATGCCGCATTAAGAATAAAATAATAGAAAGTAGAAAAAAAAACGGTAAGACTGGAATATAGTAATAAATATTATGGAGACATTTGAATATTCCCTTTGGTCCTAAGTATTTATTATTTGTTTTATTAATTATTTACATTAATTATTCTCTGATATACAATTTGTGATCATGAATAACTCTAGATATATATTGTTTCTTCTTACTGGAAATGAAAATTACAATTTGAATGCATTGTAAAATTGTTTGATCGGCTTTTCACAATCGTCTCTCGACCGTGAATTAATAAAAGGCTAAAACGGTCAAGTGCTCTCACTTTTCTTGATGGCCACAATAGGCCTTGTTCGTTTTGCGTCAGTCTACTTACGTCATCGGTTCTCATAATGATCTACTAGTACAATCAGTGTTTGTGTCAACGCACCATTGTGTGTAAAGCCTTGCTGATATTTTCGCCTCGGCCTTCTTGATTTACATAACGATAACGACAATGAAAACATTCGTGATGCCAACTTCGCGAAGCAATTAACACAGCGCGTAATTCATGTTACAGTCGCAATGCCGGTTTTACTAATAACACTTAAAATATAGCTTATCGTCTGATTATTTACCTAAAGGGACTTTAAAACAATAGCGATAAGTAAATTAATATATTTTTTGGTGTTATACATCTATATTAAAAATAAATCGGTCAGTTTTGACGCATAATTATTTGTGGCGGCAGAATTTGTAATATTTGGCGACAAGTGCGGGCGGAAAGTTTGTTGCGGAACAAGTAATGTGATGGGTCAGCTCCGCCGAGGCCGACGAGGTGGCATGCGTCCTTCGCAAGGATGGTGACTCACCAAGCGGCTGGTGGAGTGCTGCGTGAGCGTCGCAGTCGGCACAAATCGCAGAACGGAGCATACGTTCACGCTGAAGCCTCCTTAGCAGTTGCAGGTGCTGCGGCGTGAACACCGTGCCGGAGCGCTCCCCTACTAGTAACACGTCGCCGGCTTCCCACCAAGCCTGTTCCCGAAGAGTGCCGTCGCGATTGAAGAGCCCCATGTCCTTATACCCCTCGGGAGGGCTGAGCGCCCCTTCCTCCTGATCCTGGTAGCGCTCGCACGCTCCGCATCCGGAGCATTCCTCGTTCTCGTCCTCATCAGAGTAGCCGCACTCATCTCGTACTACAATAATATAATCCGCCTCGAAGAACTCATTCGCGCTCTCATCGAAGACGACTCGGTTTTTCTTGGGTTTGTTGCCCTTTTTCAGCGACGACTTTAAGTTTTCGTGATCCTTGTTGTGGCGCGTGTCACGAGCGGCGCGTTCGCCGCGCATCGTCGCGTGTTTTCGCGGCGCGGGCAGACGCCGGAGTGGCGTTGTACGCTTGTAGTACGTCGGCAACCGGCGGCTGGCGGCGAACGAGTCGCCGACAACTGCAGCGCCGCGCCCGCCCTATCGATCGCTCCGCCTGCCCGTCGCCACCGCCAACTCACTAACGCCACGACGTCGACACGGTTTTCCGCTCGCGGTAGAACAAATGCCGCTACGGTGCGCTTCTTAATTGGGCAATGACAGTGGTGCTTCAAAAGTATAGTTTGGTTGGGTGAAATAATTCGTGTTGGCATCGAGGAGCTCGCGTTTGGAGGTCCACACAACGCCATCTATCAGCACGAAAGTAGACAGTCCACCGTTTGAAGTTAACGAACGCGTCCAATAAAGTTTTAGTAAACTTTTTACGCGCGACGTACCGACTGTAACCCGTGGAAAGAAGCTTAAACTATTGAGTTTTCTGCTACTTTTGTAAAGTTTATAATTAATACAGATAAAAAATAGATTATTAAGTAATTACCCATTCATTTATATAATAACGCGTTTTTAAAACTAAAAAAATAACGGCGACATTTTCCGTTTGTTCTTGTTCTACTTATTTAACATTTTACTTCTAAAAATACCATGAAAAAAACGGATCTTTAAATGACTCAATATTAGGTTTACCTGTGAAATTGCCGTTTTGAAAAAAGTTAATTAAAGTTTTTTTTTTTTAATTTCTGTTGTTTAAAGTAATTACACATGCAATTGATGTATCTTTGCCAACGCAGTGGTTGTTTATTGATGCCCATCTTGTAAGAATCAGCTGGACGGGAGGCATCAAACTCTTCAAAAGTATTTTGTACTGCCTCTTGGTAATTGTATTTTTCACCCGACAAAAAATTTATCCAATTTTTAAAAAAGTAATAGTCGGTAGGTGCAATATCTGGTGATTATAGCAATTGAGAGAGTGCTTCTAACTTCAACTCTTGCAGCTGAGACTGTCTGTTTTTGCACAACAGGGTCGCGCGTTGTCGTGAAGGAGCAGCGGGGACAACAGATCGACTAAAGCTGGTTGCAGATGCGCGAGCTTTTCCATCATTGTATTCAATTCTTCTCAATACACATATGCAGTAATGCCCATGCGTTTTGTAAAAAGCTGTGTGACCATCACCTTTCTAAGGGTCATTTTTCGTTCCTGGCTTTGGTGCTGAATCTAAGCTACTTGCTGAGCGCTTTCAATTGTTGAACAGAATCCATTTTTCGTCCCACGTAATTCGGTTTAAAATTCCTTCCTTTCTGTGTCTGTTGAGTAGCACGAGGCAGGTCTCGACAAGTACGTTGCGTTGGCGATCGTTAAGTTGATGGGGAACCCATCTAGCAAGCTTTTTTACCATGTCTATTTGTCACAAATAGACCAATATTTGAAATTTTTTGATGGTTGATTGATATATTACTTTTGATGCTACATGATTTATTTTCGTTTGAAATGGCCAGTACTGAAGAACGGAAACACTATTATTAGTCGAAAAATACAAGATTATGATTTATACCAAAAAATTGTGTTTTATTATTTTATTTCGTCATACGAAATGTTAAACATTTATCCTGAATGCATGTATATTATATCTATAACAAAACGTTTATACATTCATCAATTCATACATTTTAAAAGTACGGTGCAATAAATGAAAAAGGTATTCTCCTGGATTTAAATGGAATGGGTTTACGTTTCGACCACAAAACAACGTCTATTGAAATTTTCCGATCGACCGCTGTCAATTAGCCTTTGATTCGCAGTTTGACACGTCACACGACCCACGTTTATTTTATAGTTCGGTGATGAAAGCTCTCTAGCTTTAAACTTTATTTTATGTTATTATATCTCATATTCTTCACATTTTCTTAACTTAATATATACTCGCTTCATAATAATATTAAAATAATAAAGCCTCTTTATTCCATAACATACAGTGATTTTTATTAATTTTATGAAGTATATGATGAAATTTATGAAATATTTAGTAAACTTGTTTTTTCTTTTTTTATATGTATATTTTCAAGCCCCTGGTGGGGTTTTAGCTTCTACCAACAGATTCCAAGTTTTTCTTATGTTTGTTTTTCCAATAGTTTCCAGCATATTTTTTTTATTTCGTCTACCCTGCGTTTCTTAGGGCGGCCTCTAGCACGCTGTGTCTTTTGTATTTTATCTGTCGCATTTTTGTTTTATATCCAGGTTTGTGAACTGCATTACAAGTAAGGTAGTAAACGTCCATCACAACATTCTTTTTTAGTTTTGTATTCAGATTAGACTTCAGTATTTCTTTTAGTATTCCTCCATAACTTTTTCTATGTTTATTCTCCTGTCAATCTCTGTTTCTAGAATTGAGAAAAGAAATGGATTTTCCAAGGTAAATGTAGCTCTCTAGATATCCTAAAGCTCTGTAAATTGCTAACTTATATAGTCATGACTTTAGTTTTTTTTTTAATTGTAGTCCTATTATGTTAATTATTTTGCATAGTTCTGATATAATTTCTTCTAATTGATTCGATGATCGCGGGAAGAAAACTATGTCATCAGCGAACCTAAGGTTACTCAATTTTTTTTTTCATTTATGTTGTTACCATTGTAGATATTTCATTATATAGTGTAAGACAGATATTAAAATTGTAGGATATAGTGGATGTCTGTTTCACGGCTCTGCATATTCTGATTATTGGCCCAAGTCTATCGAGCTTTACTCGGCTTACGCTTTTGCTGTAAATGTCTTTGACGATGCTTATATAGGTTTCTGGAACATTTTGGTTTTCTAACGCATCTTGCAAGCGTTAGATAACCACAATGTTGCCAAAGGCTGTTGTGTGAGATAGAGTCGAAGGCTAGATATAGGGGCTGCCGATGTTCCTGGTGTTTTTCATTTACTCGTTGCAAAGTATGGATATGATCGAGAGTGTAAATGCCTTTTCTAAAGCCTGCCTTTTCTATGGGTTGGTGCGACACTATTTTTGTCTCTATTCTCTTATTTAAGCAGGCCACAAATTATTTATTAACAGGAAGTAATTGATTCATAATTGTTGTAATTTAATTCGTGTTGTGTTGATAGTTTTCAGTTATTCTTTTGTTTGTTGTAATGCACAACAACAGTTTTCGTAATAGATAGCTCGTAGACCGGCGCAAAATTTTATTTCAATATACCCGGACAACCTGAGTTTAAATCATCATCATCATCATCTGAGGCATTACAGCCGCGGGTGGGCCTTAGCCTGGTCAAGCAAATCTGTCCAGTCCGGCTTCGCCGGTCCAACTTCATGAGGAAATTTGCGATAATATTATGATTGTGGAAATAAAATTTAATAAAAATGTATTTTTAAAATAAGAATTTAAATTGAAGCGTGCCAATCCACGTACCAGTATGCCACCATATACCCTGTGTATATCCTTGCCAAGCGAGCAGATGGTTCACCTGATGTTAAGTGAATACCGCCGCCCATGGACATCTGCTACACCCGAGGTTGCAGATGCGTTGACAACCTTTTGAAAATTGGGCTCCGGCCACCTCACTCAACAGAAGAAACGCAAAAGTATTATACTTACACTTCACGCCGGTCTTCTATGAGGTCGTGGTACTTACCCGGACTAGCCTGCCCATTCGTGCAACAGCCGAGGATGCTGGCTCTACCACCGCTTATTGTCGCGATTGTAAAGACACGCTGTATATTTTTTAGGAATATGCTGTAGTCGGTATTATTATCAGATGAAAACTATACTTACGTGGACTTCAAACTTAAGTTAGTTTAAGTTTATTATAAAAAAATATATGTGTACTTATGTATGTATGCACGTAAGAACTTCTTTAACGTAACAAAAGAAAAGAATTAAAAATTTTATGCCCTGTGCCAGCACTCTTTATGAAAAAGACATTAAATGATAACTTGGAATAGGTAAATCTCAAAAATTTGTTATCGGTTGCCATGGTGAAATTGGACGCTTTGCAACCAACTTCAGCTTCGCTTTTTGGATGTTAGTGTACGCGCGCATTATTATAGTTGTCAGTTCTCACGCAAACACGTCTAGCTAACTTCAAGTTGTCGGTTTTTCGTGACGGTGTGCGCGTGCGTCGTAAAAATTTACTCTCATCAATTTTCCCTAACGCGCCAAAAGAAGTATTACTTCAAAAAATCTATAATACTTCGGGGTGTATTTTTTACTGGGCTGGTAATAATTACATGTGTTTATAATATGTTGCAACATTTTTTTTTCGTCGGTACTGCGCTTGTCCCTATAATGAATTTCTTTGTGATTTACACGTTTCAGGCAGGAAGTACCGATTTAGTGGACAATTAGATCGCCGAACTTGAAATATAGCATCTGACACCAATATTAAAAAACAAACATTAGTTTTAATTTTTACTTACCTCATCAGACGAATGATAACCACTGTCTATATGAATGAAAGGTTCAAACAAAAATAATTAAATTTTCGCTATACTGCGCTGTAGCTATTTTTTGCAAGTTCACTGTCGCAACCGTCCGAGTTGCCTCGATGTGCGGGCCGGACCGAAAACCGGTGTCGGGATCAAAACTAGTTACTGTATCTCGACTTTTACCGAGTCCCGTCCGTTTCACGGTCTTATACTGCTACACAGACCGTCACTTACTGTTGTTATTTTGTTTGCTAATTTTTATGTTTACATTTATTTCAAGTTACATTATTATTTTTAAGTTTTGTATGTATTCATTTGTTTTTTAGACCGTGAATAAACGTTTCTTCTTCTTCTTCTTCTTTTACCGAAAGCCAAGATTCCCAAGGCTGAACCGCGGACCATGAAAAGAAACATGTTTTGGCGATTCGTGAACGGTGCGGTGAAACGTGAACATTATAAAAATTTATTGGCCCCACCAATTCGAGATATTAAGCTTTTTTAATGTAGAAAATCCGTGGCAGGAAAAAATCGGACAAGCACTGAGCTGAACTTTTTTTATAACCATTGTGTACTACGAGCCACGATACTAAAGAGTTACCCCA